CACAGTACTGTATATAGTTTCATCAATATACAAATAGAAAAATCATTTCTACAATTACAATTCTACATAAGTGAGTAGATGTTTTGAAAACATGCTATTATTTGCTACAGTGGGCTTGGTGGTAGAAAATCCTTCCTTAAGTAAACCTTGAAGTTTAAATGCTATATCTTCACAGGAGAGGATCTGTACAGAACCTTTCAAAGTAAACCTATTTGTTTAGCTAGACTTTCTCATTTGAACCTATGCTGCTTGCTGTTAAGCAATTTAAAATAGTATTGTGTACAGATATCTCAGATAGTAACACAAATTGACTTTCAGTGATATAATTAAGTATCACACACACAGAGCATTTTGTTTGCTTCGCAACAAACCCTCTATATAATGAAAATAATAATAAGAAGAATGATCTTTGTGAATTATACAAAATGTGGTTAGAGCACATGCCTTGCAAGCGAGAGGACCTGGGTGATTCCCAGCAGGGTGAAAAGTTGGGAAAGTTTCCTTATTCCACAGGCCTGTTTACCATGCATTAAGTAGGAACCCAGTTGTTAATCGATTGGTGGATCACTTTTCTGGGGATAATAATCCCTCAAAAAAATAATAATAATAATTTCGTCACTCAATCCATGACTGCTGCGTGCAATTAGCTGCCGCATTTCACCCATAGATATAGTCCATTCATTTTGCAGTATATTCTATGAAGCGCTTTGAGACGTCTACAAGATATGATAACGTTCTATACCAAATGCAAGGATTATTATTATTATTAAAAAGAGAAGGCGTAATATAAAATGAAGCACCCATAAACAACACTAAATAAATCACATTATAGACAACGCGGAGTAACACTGAAATTACATATAAGATAGACTGATGGTAGTAAACTAAACCTCAATAATTCTATCAAAGTTCAGATGACAAAATAATTCAGGCAGTGAAGCTTGAGTGCTTTCAAATCATCATCTGAACCCTGAGAGGGAATTATTGCTTTAACACTCCACTGTATTAGGCACAATATACAGCAAAATTGTTTAGCTAGTGATGGAAAATGAAATTAGGAACATAGAAATGTACAGGAAAGAAAGACCATTTCTGTCCATCAGAAAAGTCCCATAGGAAAAAAAAATTGTTTACCCTCCCGACACTCAAATCCCTCAATCCACTCGATTGCACAATAATTATTCAATTTCTCTCTTGAATTTATTGACACAATCTCTTGCCACCGCCTCCCCAGATAGTACATTCAACATACAACCGCTCTCTGTCTGAAGCAATTAAATCTATTGTTAACCTTACCTCCACTGCTCTCAAGTCCATGCTTGAGTTTTTGGTTGTTTTTCAGTACGAAGCTTAAATAAATTATTCAATTCATTATTCAGTTCACTGGTGAAATGAACAGCCCACCGGTTTAATATTACATTCCCACTTGGTATCTTTCTGCTGATGGCTCGTTGTTTTTTAGAAATGACAGAGAGCTCACAAGAGCTGGGAGCCCTATGTTTGCGATTGTCCTTATTACAGTACTTTAATTAGCTGAGCACCTAAGGTTATAAATCCAATTTGCTATGAAAGGCAAAAAAAAAATTTTTTACGGCCACGTGTGAGCCAGACCATATGAAAATGGTTGCATTCTCATATTTCATTGGTTTGTATAGAGAAACATTCTGTTCAGTTTACAAATAATCCTGTAAAAATCCTTGCTCTAGAATATCTCAAAGGACATGGTAGGAAGATGGTTCAGTTAATGGAAAAACAAAAACAGCACATTCACAGGAATGAGTATTCTTAAAAGTCAAACTACAGAGCACATGCCAATTCCATTTGACTTTTCTATCTATTGTGCTATATACAGTGTTCAATAACAAGCTTTTCAAATTTGACATTACTGTGGCAAAAGATAATAAAAGAGCAAAAGTACAAACACAGTGATCCAGAGAAATTGTTCTTTGAACAGGGAGATGCTCTCTCTATTGCCATTCAGAGAATACTAACTAAACAGTAATCAATTGCATTTCCTCCTCTATAGTCCACTAAGATGTACTGTTATTGAGTAAACTCTCTGTTTGAATACATAGTCTTGAACTTATTATAGTTCAGTTACGGCGTTGAGGATTGCAATTACTTTTAAGATCTTTTGTTCAAACCCTAAATGTACTGATTCCATGATAGCCTTTTCTTTAAACCTTTGCTATTGCAATATTTTATATTCAGCATGCATAATACTAAGAGTTCGGAGATTAAACACGTTGAGACAATAAATGGTGCGCCCTGAAATAGATTTCAGAACCTTTCTCATTTTAATTTCAAAACAGCTCAACAGCTTGGAAACAATTTGAAATGAGAGCGTGCACATGAGAGCAAATGACTGTATGATTTGCAGCTGCAGAGTGTTGCCTGTCTAATGCCTCTTTTAAGTGCACCGTTTTGAGCAAAGTGGAACTAATGGAAGAATTCAAACTGTGGCTTCTTTTGAAACTTGTCTTTGATTCAAAGAGGAAAGGCAAGATATAGGCAACCTACCAGATTAATTAATAATACTGGAAAATTCTATTTAATTACATTTCGAATTTTCAGCATGGCTCCCCCCCACCAATTCAATTTCAAGACTCTCCATGGCCTTGTCCCCTCCTACCTCTCTGACCTGCTAAACCCCTATCAATCTGTCCGCTTCCTCCACTCAGCAGGCTTCAGGCTGCTCCAGGTCTCCCTCCCGACCATCGGCAGCCGGGGTTTCAGCCTCTCTGCCCCCACTCTTTGGAACTCCATCCCACAATCCCTTTGCTTGCTCTCTTCTTTGCCTCCTTCAAGCCACGACTCAAGACCCCCCTTTTTGACCGTGCCTTCAGCTGCCCACCTAAAACCTCTGCCCTCCCTCATACCAACCCTGCCCCCCACGATCGGGTCCTGATCCCTGACTGTTCAGCACCTTGGGATGTCCTCCCAACGTGAAACACGCTTTACAAATGTAATTTTGTTGTTGTTGTTCTATAGCACCCTTCATGTTGACAAATCTCTCAAAGCATTACAAATATAGGAGCTGGAGCGCTGCTTGAGGTTAGCTGATCAGTAACGACTCACTCCATATATGAACTATATTGGAGAGTATTGGCATGTTATTTTTTGTGTAGCCAATTTTCTCTTCTCTCCTGAAGACATTTCAACTCCTTTGCCTTGTATTGGAGTAGACAGATGGCTGACGCTCTCTCTATACTATGCTGGCTGTCACTTGTGGAGTCCCATAGCATAGTGGTTAGCGCGCTCGCCTCGCAAGTAAGATGACCTGGGTTTGATTCCCAGACAAGGTGAAACCTTAGGCAAGTTTCCTTACTCAACACGCCTCTGATTACCTACCAGTAAGTAGGAATCTGGTTGTTAGTTGATTGGCGGATCGCTTTCTGGGGATAATAATCCCTTCAAAATAAAATAATAATAATTTAGTCACTGAATCCACAACTATTTGTGCGATACTGCTGTGCGCAATTGGCTATCGCATTTCATCCACAAAATATAGATACTAGACTTTACAATATATTCTGTGATACGCTTTAGGATGTCTCAAATACCTGATAAGGCGCTATATCAAATGGAAGGATTATTATTATTATTATTACACAGAGACAGAATGGGATCCCGAACAAGATTAGAAAATGGAGTAAGGGTGTCAATGTGGTCCTGGAGTAACCAGCCATTAAACTTAAATTTGTTAACTTTATGGTTAGTTACGCCAGGACCACGTTGAACACACATTTGTGAACTTCCTTTAATTGTGGACTTCCCTCAATCCTCACTTTATGGTCACATTTTCCTCCCTGGATCCTCCCCATCTTCAGTTCCTTTTTCTTAGTCTCTAATTTCTCTATGAGCCGTTAAAAGGAGCAGTATGGCCACTTTGAAAAGATTGCACCTTCGTTCTCTTGCAGGTAATCTTTCTTCATAACAATCTTTTAATTTTTCAAATTAAAGAGATCATCCAGAACTCTGCAGCTCGTGTCCTCTCCTCCACCAGGCTCCGTGACCCTATCACCCCCATCCTCGCCCGACTCCACTAGCTTCCCATCACACAGTGTATACAGTTCACTCACCTGCTCCTCACCTTCAAAACCCTCTATGGCTCACTCCGCCCTATCTCAGCGACCTCCTAAACCCCTACCACCTGCCCACTCCCTCCACTCAGTGAGCTCCGGCCTGCTTCACGTCCCCCGCCTCCCCCGCCCCACCATTGGTGGGTGGGCCTTCAGCCACTCTGCTCCACCCTCTGGAACCATCCGCAGACCCTCCGCCTTGCCCCCTCCCTTACCTCCTTCAAGACCCATCTCACGATCCTCCTCTTCGACCATGCTTTCGTTCACCTTCTATCCCCCATGCCCTCCACCCTCCCCAATCACGATCCCCAGCTTGGGTCCAAAACACTGACTTGTCCAGCGCCTTGGGACGTCCTCCCGTTGTAATGGTATAATCTTCTGCTGCTATCTATCCTGGTTAGTAAGAGTTACAGACGTTAATCAATCACATTAGTAATGGGAAATGAAATGCAGAAAAACTGCTTTGGTTGACTTTTTAGAAAGTGCGCACCTGAATTATATTTCTTTTTAAAAAAAGGAATAACATTCTTGTTAATTTTTTTTATTAAAATGTCTAATTTCCAGTCTGTAATGAGGAAGTTTGTGTTAACTGGAAAGGCATTAGAGGTGCTGGATCCATGGAATGTATACTTTCACTCACAAAATATTCGCCCACAGTCAATTCACTTTACAGTATAATTCTGTGAAGCGCTTTGAGACATCGCAACAACGTGATAAGGCAGTATATCAAATTATCAAGGATTAATATTACTATTATTATTAGAGACACTCATGCACCTCCATATTTCTGACCATAGCATTCTATGATGCATAGTCACATAGATGTATTACATAACTAAGGTAAACCGAAGAGACCAGGTTAGACAGTAAAATTACAGACCTGATATTTAAAAGAACAAGAAGCAAATCCACACTCACCTTATCCACACCCAGAGATAAAGTAAAGGGAAATCACGGCTGCACAGTTAATTTTGAGCGATTAAAGTGTTAACTATAACTTAAAGTGAATTTATTTACTTTGTAATTATAATATTTCTTCCATAAGGTTTTCATTTGTTTCTATATATTAAAAAAAGAATTTCTAATCGCCTGCTGTTTAATCCGAACACTTGTTATTTTCCATGCAAACATTGTATTTTGCAGATTAATAAATACAAGATTGCAGTAAACCATTGTTGATCATGAATAATGAGAAAAACAAGCCCCTTTCACAATAATGCCTTCAAACATTCCTTTGGTTACATCAATAAAATCCCTCCGTGGTTGTGAGTTCACAGCTGGAGTCCTTTAAGTCCTTAACTTTCCATTCATTATATTAATACCACTGATGAACATGTTTGAGCAGAAAATTCATTACTGGCATTGGAGGATAATAATAATAATGATCCTTGCATTTGATATAGGCTTTTCACGTCTTCTGGACGTCTCAAAGTGCTTCACTGAATAGACTGTAAAGTGAATTGACTGTATATTTATGGGCAAAATGATATTACTTTGATATAAAATGATATTACTTTTCATAGCTGGGCTTGGAATCCAATGTGTAAATCTGTATCCTGTATTTGTAAGCAGATGTTGCTACACTAGGCAAATTACCCGTGAAGGGTTTTGAGATTTTCTAATTCATACATGTTGTGCCAAATGCAAAGGATTATTATTATTATAGAAGTGTACTTTTAATTTTTAGACAAAGAAGGAAAGAAGCAGAACTGTTGTCATATGCAGTAGCTGTTCAGGATTGTTTTGTAGGACGAGTAGAAAAGAGCAAGTGCTTGTAATTGTTAGATTATGTAGTACTTTGTCTCTGTTCATGCCCTTGTTCCCTTTTCATTCTCTTCCCTTTCATACTGCATCTCCCGATTGCAATGGTAACTTTTGAAGACATTGTCTGCCAGCACCACATATCAGTGGCAAACTGACACAATTCTGATATCCCATAAGAATATACTCCACTCTCCATTCTTGTATCCCGTCCCCTTTATCTTTTTGCTTTGTTTTTAAACTGTTCTATCTATCCTACTTTGATTTCCTTTTTCTTTCTGAGTTTCCATCCTTTGGATGAGATGTTAAAACGAGGTCCCATCTGCCTATTCAGATGGATGTTAAAGATCCAAGATCCTTTGGTACTATTCAAAAAGAGAAGGGAGTTTATCCCAGTGTCCTCCCCCCACCCCCAAAAACAAATTGGTCACTCCATGGCTGTTTGTGAGACACTGCTATGCGCAACTGGCTGCCGTGTTTCACTTCTAAAATACAGTTATTACAGTTTATATCCTGTGAAGTGCTTTGAAATGTCTCACCTCCACTATATCAAATGCAAGGATTATTATTATTATTCCTTCATTTAAACTGTCTGATCTGTCAAACTTTACATTTGAAGTATTTGGTCTCTAAGAGCATTAATTCTTGCCCATGCTCCTTTATCATATGCAGAAACAAACAGTGACTTCACCTACATTGAGATCCCCGATTCTGTGTTTGAAACTTATCAAACAACAAGAACTCTCCTTTGAATTTTTTATCCAGATAGGCAAAGAATGTGAATCAACATATTTGCTTATTGTATTCAGTAATATTTTAATACTAAATCTTCTTTGTGGACATTT